ACCAAGTACCGGGCGATCGTCTCTCCGTAGTAGGGACGGAAAAGTTCCGTGGGTGTATGCCACAGCTGGCGAGCTATATCTGGTTGTGTCTCATCTAAGCGGTCCTCAAATTCTGTATACCGGTCCCCTAACATCCGATGGAACGCTGGCCCGTCCTCGATGTTATTGAAATCGAATGGTTCGCCGGGACTGAAGATAGTCGCGTGCTTTGAGAAGTAACCATAGTGGGGGTTATATAGACTATCTAGAGTGAGGTTAGAAAGAATATGAGTAGCAGTACTAAGCGTTAGCGGTGCACTGGTGAAAACATACCGTCAATGAATTCTCTAGTCAACATCTTCACCTGTCGCGGCCGTTCGCGCCGATGACGCAGGTCTTTGGCCGTAACAAGCGGGAATTCCTTCAACTCCTCTTCAATATCTTTGGGGTAGTCGCCCCGTTTATTCCAATTCATGCCATCATCGACATTCTTCCGCCTGGCTGCCGAACGTCGCGTGAGAAATGGACGGCATTGTTGACGTGGTGTGGATAATTGAATGCACTGCGGCCTGCGGCCTGCGAGGGCAGATAAGGACCGAAGTGACTGACAGGCAGGATGCCGGAACAGCTGCCGGAACAGCTGACTGAGGACTGGGGAGTCCATGGGCAGATAAATTGACAGCAGTGGAGAGTCGCAAGTTGCGTTGCGAGAGCAAGACGGAGAGAAACGACGACCTGCAACTGCTTAAACGTCGGGTGTGGCCCGAGCGTTTTCTCCGGCGTCCCTCCCGCGCGACCTTCAATCTAATTGCGTAACTTTTCTTCCTCGCGGTCATTGAAGAAAGGTTTACTCTATTCCCAAATATGAATGACCATTGTCGTGTCTACATAGGCACAGCCTTCATAGCTGGAGCCCTCTTGACGCTGGGATTCAAGGATCTTCTCTATCCGGAGCTAGAACACCGCCTCCGAGAATATCGAGCTCGACGTCATGATCAGTCTACAAGTGACATACAGGATCTTCCCGCAGATATTCTTGCAGCTAGGCCCGGGCCTCCTGTGATAGTGGAGGGGATCGAGGGCTGTATAGGAAATACTCCCTTATTCCGAATCAAGTCCTTGTCTGACGCTACGGGGTGTGAGATACTGGGGAAGGCTGAAGTATGTATTTCTTACTACCACTTTTTCATTTGATGTTCGTTCCATGTTGCCACATAGAACGCTCGCTGACCTGGAGCTAGTTTTTGAATGGAGCTGGCCAAAGCTCCAAAGACCGTGTCGCACTGAGCATGATCGAACTTGTATGTTCTGTTATCCGGTTACTTTTAAATTGTCCTAATGTTTGTCTAGGCTGAGGAACGAGAAATCTTGACACCCCATTCCGGGGATACAATTTACGAGGGCACTTCCGGTTCAACTGGGATATCGTTGGCCACTCTAGCCCGCGCAAAGGGCTATCTGGCTCATATGTGAGTAACATTGTCTATATACTTCTCACCTCTAACCCTCTGTATCTTGAACTAATGATAACATAGCTGTATGCCATCTGATCAAGCCATTGAGAAATCAAACCTGCTTCTCAAACTTGGCGCAATTGTGGATCGTGTCCCGCCTGCTCCCATTGTGGAAAAGGAAAATTTTGTCAATCGAGCACGAGCCCTCGCCAATGTTCATACAGCTACTTCTACTACAAAGTCAAACTTGGAACCTCTGATGCCCGATCCTCCAGAGTTTTCCGGACCCAAAGCAGGGAGAGGCTTCTTTGCAGATCAATTTGAGAACGAAGCGAACTGGAGAGCGCATTTCAACGGCACAGGCCCCGAGATCTATGCTCAATGCAATGGAAGACTTGATGCGTTCGTCGCAGGAGCTGGGACCGGAGGCACAATTTCTGGTGTAGCACTCTTCCTAAAGCCGCGAATTCCTCACTTAAGTGTTGTGCTTGCCGATCCACAGGGCAGTGGGCTTTATAACAGAGTCCGCTATGGCGTAATGTTCGATTTAAAAGAGAGAGAAGGTACTAGAAGACGGCGACAAGTTGACACTATTGTCGAGGGTATTGGAATCAACCGCGTGACAGCCAATTTTGAAGCAGGAAAGGAGCTGGTTGATGATGCTGTAAGAGTGACAGATGCTCAGGCCTTAGCAATGGCCAGGTGGCTGGTAGAAAAGGATGGCATCTTCATCGGAAGCAGTAGTGCTGTTAATTGTAGGTGTTTTTTTGTCTCCTTTCCGTACACTTCGGAATACTGATTTTTGCTCTAGGCTTTGCAGCGGTCAAGACGGCAATGAAACTTGGCCCGGGCCATAGAATCGTCACAGTCCTATCTGATTCTGGCTCCAGGCATCTTTCAAGATTCTGGGCTAGAGCCGGGGATGTCGGCGGGGCGGTAGACACAAAACTGGAGGACGTTTTGAACGCAAAGGATGACCAATAAAGGTCCGTCTATTGTACACTATATTATGTGCGATACAGGACTTATCACCGAGCGACTGTGGAGCCTGAAGCACGCTTAGCACAGCCTCTTTGAAGGCGCTACTCGGGGGATTTTCTGACCTTCTGTGGCCGGTAATACTCGGTCTTATGCAGGGCAGCCGCTAGCATGCTTCACTTGTTGGGTTTCAGCTGCAGGTTGGCTTGCCCCACGACGTTCGAGACTGCAGGAAAACTATCCGAGTCGACTGATTCGCCTTTATACTATTTAATGAGTGACTTCCTAAGTAGGGTGTCGTGGAGCAGCCTGACGGATCTTGTGGCCCGGATCCTCGCCGCTCCTGTTGATAGGCTGTGTTGTGGCTCGGAAAATTGGTCATCGGGTCCATCTAATCGCTAATTCATGCTGAAAGATGCCGCAGTCCCATCCTGTTGTTCGGTGTTCCAAACATCATCACCCACCCAGAGTCTCAAAAGCTCAAATTCGATCTCCGCGATACATCGCCCAGGCAACCTTGCGCGGACTGCATGCCATGTAAGGCCGCGTTGGTCCTTGAGGTCATGGAGAGTCTCTCGCTCCGTACTCGACCAAGGCTTGGACAGTGGAGGTGGGTTCGCCCGGCGCTCATGCCAGTGTAAGTGATTCCATTGGACAAGTTGCGCCAGCTTTTTCCACGGTAAATGGTCTGTAATCTCCTTCCATTTTTTCCCCTGTACTTGTCTCAAAAATACAATCAGCCTCGCTTCATCTGGTGTAATAGTCGTTCTGGCACGCTTGCTTGGGCTAGTAGAATCATGGGATTTGGATTGACACTCAATCGGTGTGATTTTTGGGTCCTGTGTAACGTCGGGCGAGATGCCATGAATTTTAGTACCGCTCTTGGTTACAAGGTGCGTACCCAAAGCCACATTGTTAAAGGTGGTTTCTGGTTGATTTGTTGCTTCCGAATTATTGCGCTCGTCTTCCGCGGGGTTGAGCGAAGTCTGGCGCAGTCGAGAGACACGATCGTCTCGCAAAGGAGACACCTTGCAATCATCAACCACGCCCTTCGTATGACTCGGAGTATCCGGTCCGAGTCGTTTCCCTCTAATTTTTAGGGCCCCTTTCGGCGTAGGCGACGGCTGATAGTTTTCCTGTAAGGGGTCGTCGGATTCATTTCCATCCGGTGTCTGTGCGAAAGACCAGTCGCACATAATCGGACTAGATTGAGGCTTCCACTTGCGCTCGCTGATTTCACATTTCTTTGCGGATCTCCTTTTCGTAACGTCGGTATTACGCCTGGACTTCCCGGGCAGTGCCCAGATAGAGCCTGCTCCGGGCGGAGATGCGGACCGTACGACATTGAAAGGAACCGTTGGTCGTGATCTGCTCAATGGAGGCGTAGAGAATTCGCCACTAATTTCAGGGACGCGCCACACTGAATCCACTGCCTCTATAGAGCTGTGTTTCTGCAGGATTTGGGATTGGGTGGATGTCTCCGCCGTAGGTTTGGCTTTTTCCGTAACGGGCTCGTCTGTATCCATCAGGCTTTTTCGCCGAATGGGGTCGTCTGGGCCGTGTTGGACACTTAGTGCTGTATCCAACAAAGAATCCACACTCAACCTATCTTCGTCGATATCCGACTCGGCGATCGAGGCCTCACTTTCTCTGCTCTCCCAAAGTCCATCGAGGTCTGGCCCGGGTTGAGTCTGCGTTGCTGCTTGTGTGTGTTGAAGATAGGTGTTATCATCTTCCAGAAGGTTACCACAAGCCCCTGTCTCCGAATATTGAGAGATATTGTGCACAGTAGCTGCATCATCCAGTGCGGATTCTTCCGTCTCAAACAGCCAACGGCCCTTTGCGCCAGTATCGTTCTCATCTTCCATCCCCTGGATATGTCCATTATTCACTACTATCTTTCCGGTTTGTAAATCAATCTCATCTCCCACGTCCGTAAAGTCTTTGCCGTATTTTTCGAAAATTCCCTCGAAGATCGATTTGAGGCGTTCATCGTTTTGAGCGCGCGCTTCTTGTAGGTCTATATCACCTGGCTCATCATCTGCGCCGGTAGCAAAGGATAATCGAGGTCTCTTGAGGGGTCTCTCCATCATCATGCTGTTCGTATAGAAGCACGTTTTGGGTGTGAAACGCGATAGAAGAATAAAGGATTAGCTGCGGCCTCTATGAGGTTATAGAGAGAAGGACGGGTAGGACGATCGACACGTTACTCTACTGCAAGAGAGAAAATTAGTGATTTGGAAAGATACACATTGCAATGCAGACGGACAGTGTCATAGGATTACATACCGATTCATGAGAAGATGCGGCAAGAATTATTGTCTTCCTGGTATAAACAGAGTAACTGGAAAACAATGTGGTGTTAGGAAATAGCTAGCTACCTAGATTCCAAACTTGAGACAATGCTACGGCTAGAAAGTGTTTATGTTAATTGAATGATAGCGCATCCTACAAAATTAAATTGACCATATGTCGAGGCTTCAGCCTTTGCGGGCGGACACCAAAACACGCGCCGTTGGCACGGGATCGCCGCATGACGTCTCTCCGCGAACGGATTCCCCTGCCGCACATCATTCCCAATTCTATCAAGCAAACAATCAAACATCGCTTGCCTTGATAACCTTTCTTGTCTCCATAATGAATGGAAGGGCATCTTCAATCGACTACCAACATGCACTGCCAAAAATGCCGAACTCAGTTGAAGCTGGATGGCTCTCTGGAGTCGCTCAATCCAGCTGCCTTCGATCTGCTTACCAGTATAGTCCCATTTGATTTGCATAGTTTGGATTTCTTTATACAGCATAACTAATCTATTCAGGCTCTACAGGTAAAACTCTACCGGAGCAAGGGTCTGCCTCCAGAAATTCGTTTCCTCAAGAAAGACGAGACCTGTACGACCGTGTGTCCAAGAAAGTTACGTCTCCAGTTTATCGAAGATCCATTCCTGCTCCGCGCCAAGTTGGCAGTAACCAGAACAACCCTCCTAGGCTGGGACGAGGAGACAGTGGGAACATGTCCTTCGTTATGCTTACGGAGTCTCAAGTTGGGCCACCGCATGCGACAAGTGGTGTTAATGGCGACAACACTCCGAAAGGCAAACGACCCCTCAATACTCAAAATGCTGAACGTGAAACGGACGATGGGTCATTTGCGGACCAAGTTGAGCGAACGAGCCGCCTCTTTGAAATCATCTCTTCTCGCTCTGATATTGATCATCCAATCTGCACCGAATGCACGGAAATGCTTGTGGACGGGCTCCAGAAACGAATGGTAGATGCCACGAAGGAGCGAGATGCTTACATCTCATTTTTACGGAACCTAAATTCATCTGTCCCAACGGCTGAGGAACTTGAAGCGGCTGAAAAGTCCCTCAAAGAAACGTTAGAGGCAGAGGAGGCTGCGTTCGCAGAACTTGTAGCGCTGGAACAGGAAAAAGCAGCCTTGGATGAAGAGATAGCTGACCTTGAAGAGGAGGCTCGTCAATTAGACCTGGAAGAGGAAATGTTTTGGCGCGACCGCAACACCTTTTCTCTAACATTAGCCGATTTTCAAAATGAGCGGGATGCTCTTAATATGAGATACGACCATGACTCGCGGCAGCTTGAAAGGCTACAGAGGACTAATGTTTATAACGATGCTTTCTGCATTGGCCATGACGGATACTTTGGCACTATAAATGGCTTGCGACTTGGGCGCCTTACAAACCCATCCGTAGATTGGCCGGAGATTAACGCAGCTTGGGGCCAGACAGCTTTATTGCTGGCCACCATCGCGGATAAATTGGGCTTTGAATTTCAGGGGTACCAACTCAAGCCAATGGGATCGATGTCTAAAATTGAGAAAATCGAACATCCACGGGGATCACCAGCACAGTCCACCATCGCTGGGGGTAGCGCGACTCCGTCGGCACCGCCCAAGATTACCACTCTTGACTTATTCTCCTCTGGCGACTTGCCACTCAACCTTCCTTGGCTTCACCGCCGGTTCGATGCAGGAATGGTGGCTTTCTTGGAGTGTCTACGTCAGCTTGGGGAGTTTGTGGAGAACAAGCCAGCTCCAATGCCCTTGAATCGACGAGGCCATACCGGAATTACCGCTCCGGGCTTGAAGCTTCCATATGCCATCAAACGAGATAAAATCGGAGATGCGAGTATCAAATTGGGCTTTCACAATAATGACGAGACTTGGACTCGTGCTTGCAAATACACATTGACCTGTTGCAAGTTCTTGTTGGCCCATGCAAGCAATGTTGCCAGCGCTGGCTCTAATACTTCTGCTGACATTGCAGCCGCAGCTGTTGCAGCTGGTGAGCAAGCTAGGCTTGCAACAGCTGGCCCTGCAAACAAATAAGACTGTAATACAAAAGATGCAAAGGCGGTTCAACCATAGAGAACACGCGACTAACCTATCCTTCTCAACCAGCACTAGCGTCATGCTATCACTGCGGGCAGCTAATGGCCCTTATTCCGGCGACCCGTATAGTGGACAGATTTGGATAAGACGGCCCTCTTTCAGTGTCCATTTCAGAAATAAAGTCGATGAATACTTCTAAGGCAAAGTGACTACAGGGCTCGGCCTTAATCGCGGGCTAATTGTATACTTGTCTCCTTGAAACCATACAGAATACTCGACGTTTCATCGCCCCTGCATCGGACTCATGCCGCTCTGCTTAAACCGGCGGATCATTAGCGCTATCATGAAGTACTTTTGTCCTTATGCCCAACTATCGTTATGGATGTAAGATATGGTCGGGCCATGACATCACTATTACTATCATGCGAATACCAGGAAGGGAGAGAGAAAAAAAGGAATAAGGTGTCAAACTAGAGAAGGAAGAGTGGAGGAGACAAGAAATCACAGGCATCTGGCAGAATTTGTCTTGTGACAACAACAGGACTTACCCTGACGCCACTAGACAGAATAAAGATAGCGGGAGATCATCATTTTGTCGCTCCTTCAAAAGCGACGACGTGACCTCCCGCTGTTTCGCATGACAAGAAACACGGGCTGAGGTTATCCAGATTCGTCTCTGCGCACACCGATTCTTAGCCTCTTTCGCGCTATCTAGCACAGAAACCCTCGACTTAGCTATGTCAACGCACTTGGGGCAACAGACACACGGAAGAGAATCTATACGGAACAGGGATGCTCATGTAATGACAACAAAGAACACTAAGGATGCAACCACCTCAAGACGGACTCAGCAGATCCATGGCGCTGGGACTGTCGATGTTGTACCGACGGTTGCGTGGATCCTACACGTCGACCAGGAATGTTTCGGCCCGCTCCCGGGCACACGGCGCACGAGGAAGAATCTTACTACGTACCTTGCCTCTTTGTTTCTTTGTTCTCCCTGAGTCTTTTTTTCCTTTTCTTTTACTTAAGAAGAATTATAAATAAAAAAAGAAAAGAAAAGAAAACCCCCAGACAAGTGTATGCCCAATGGAAATGCTGGCAATCGAAATCCCCCCCTCTAACGCTATTGGTGTCTCTAAAGAAGCAATAGGTCATAATATCTCCGCGAGCCACAGTTACAGGAAACTTGGACTCGGCGTGACAGGAAGGAGGTCACAGAATCAACGTAACTGTCAGGCTTCCTTGTTATTTCTGTTGTTTCTTGGCCCTTACGTCTTAGTTGGGCTATACTTGGGGCGTACTTTAGCATACATTGATTAGTACTTTTAGAATAAAAGACGGAGGAAAGAAAAAAAAAAAAAAAAAAGAACGAAAGAAAGAAAGAAAAAAAGAATTCAGTCTTTAGTACGGTTTTGTATGATGTTAGATACAGCTTAGTCGAGTCAGGTTAGTACTCACACCCCGATCCTTAATCCACTGCTCTATAGTTGCGTCGCGGGAGGATTTCGTTCACTAAACAGAATCTATGTTCGCAACCTCTGGCAGTGATAGTTGGATCACATATACATTAGGATTGTAGGACACTATTATTATTACATATCCTTTCTGTAGACCTTGTACCCTGGTCATGATTGTCTGATATCAACACTATGACAGATGAATTAGCACCGGCGCTTAACAAAGCCTATACATCCATCTGATAGTGAGAGGCCACGCCTCCTTCCCCCTTCCATATGTAGCATGCTACACAGCAGGGCAATAGTTTTGAGTCTGAAACTAAAGGAATGGTGCTATCTATCTTTATAGAGGTTCATAGTGAAGCAAAAGGGGAACAACGTATCATATGTAGTGTTCGCGTGGATGTCTCTTCCACCATGAAGAGTCTCGAGCAATAAACTATGGCTTGAGAGCCTGGAGCAAACCTGTACCTCCAAGCCATACTAAACGGTAGCTTCTCGTGAACTTCCTCCGCTTCTTGCCGTTAAGATCCACATGTCTATACTAAGGCAGGCAGAGGGAGGACTACCATTAGGTCTGATGTGAGCTAAGGTTTATGAAAACTATTCTATGTCAGCTGAAGCTATCTTTTTTTTTTTTTTTGCCCTCACTCCTTACTTTATTTGCCCTATCAGCCTTACTTTGGTTTTTCTATAGTTTCAAAAAATCTGCAGCAGAATCACCGGGACCTTAGGTTCTTGATCTATTAAAAATTGTGTATCGATGTACCCTAGATACCAACAATACTATGCAACGACCAGGTAGATGCGTCCATCTGGATTTGGATAGAGTAGATGCTGGTCACTGTACGTTATATTATAGACTAGTAAGTATAAAAGTCTTGCGCACGTTGACCATTGGACAATATGGATAGCCCGGTATACGTACTATGTCTGAATGAGTAATAGGATAACACAGCCACTCTGACAGAAAAAAAAAAAAAAAAAAAAAGAAAGAAAGAAAGAAAAGAGATACCGTGACCTGTTAAGTTTCCTCATTTTCTTTTTAAAATCGTTCGATACAATTTCCTAAGACTTGTCGTTACTACATCGATATTTTAGTGAAGACGAACACCGAGAGCGTCAACAACCCAATTTAGAGTAGGAAAAGGACTATTTCCAGTATGACCCTTGAATCATGTGCATACCTATGTCCTCTAGTCCGTTTCAATATTCTTTAACATACCTAAACAATAGAAATGCCGCACTGCTCAAGGCAACTACTACCAAACTAGCCTGTGGGAATGCTGATTCACGTGGTCTCCATCCATCGACAGTGGGATCGACCATCCCTCGCTGGATGCTGATGCTATTTATTGTCAGGTGAGTGATGGTCTCAGCACCTAGGTTAGAGGAGACACAAACACACAAGAGAGATAATCTTTCTCTTTCTCTCTTTCTCTCCCTTCCTCGGGTACGCGTTTTCTTCCCCATGTGATCTGTCAGACATGATGAACAACCAATTGGCGGAGGATGACGAAGGTCATAAACTTTGGAAATCTTGAGCCCCAACGGGCGCCACATCCTATCGCACTGTGATCATTGCACATGGTGGGATAATTCGCGAATATGTCCGGAAGATTCGACAGGCTTGTTCGTTGCGTTTCATACTGAGGGGATTATGAGCGGCAAAAGTACCAAAGGTACAGCACTAAAAGTTCAAAGCGTGCGCTGAGTCCCTTCCGGTAGAGGCGATGCATTTGATATGGGGTATGCTATCCACATTTACCTGTTTCATGCCGCGCCCACAGGGAAATCGTACCAAGTATTAGCTGCTCATTGGCCTGTAGGCACGACCTGTCGTCTATACATAGTACGGGCCGCAGGATCTACTTGGGGACAGCGTGGTCGACCGTTTTCTCGTAGCCTTAAACAGGAGAAGTGAAATATGCAGCTAGACATCAGAGGGGTAATTGACCGAAGAGTCGAGTAGAGTTCTGAATAGCATTCTTTTCCACCCAAAACGGTTTCACCATATGTAGAAAATGCAGAGGATTCGACAAGAATTTCTAGCGAAACTTTATAGCAAACGGATTGTCCATGTGTCAGTAATGTTGATTAATTACTACATATATTGTGAACTTGTTTTCTGGTTTTTTTTTTTTTTTTTTCCTTCGCTCTCTTTGATTACTTTTTGCTGAACTAATTCAAATCATAGCCCGACGAATATGCTATTCCGGGCCGACGTTCCTTGTACTTGACAGTTCGACTATCTCTAGCGCATCTGTCAGTAAAAACCAAACTTGCGACTACTCCTAATTCGAAAAATTTAATATACAACAATAATGGGGCCGTTATACTCTAACCTGATAGGGACGTTTAAGACTCCATCGCTAGGAGACTTTTGGTGGACATTTGGAGCTCAGGCCCCAGCCTATGGCCCGAACTTTGCCACACCGTCTCGAGCGTTTTTCCCACTTTAGGGCTCAAATAGATTAAATGGATTTATTTTCGTTTACTTGAAGGATGGGAAAGCCAAGTAGGTGGGAAGAAGAAAGAGAATAATGAAAGAAATGGAATAAGGTACCAGCCACATTTTTTAAGTCGTTACGGGGATTCTGATAGTAGATTTTATGTACTTGTACTTGTTCTTTTCTGTATTTGTCTTTTTCTTTTGTTCTTACTTCCATAATGACGACGTTAGAATGTCCGATTCTAATAGTAGAACAAAACACCGTTCCAAGAACAATACCTGAAAGCCTCGGAGGCAAAAAAGAAAAGAATACTAAAGCCGATCCCTGTCCACCTCGCACATCTCGGACAATGTTCAAGGCTAAAGAAGGGTCTAACCTTGGTGATCTGACAACCGACAATGATCCTCGAATGTTGCACCTGCAGAAGATAGCGTATGCAGACAAAGTGATCACTTTTACAGTGGTAATTGTTTTTACATGTTAGCATTTCACTGCAGTAATTCCTCCTTAAATGTTTTCTTTTTCTTTTCTTTCTTTTCTTTTTATTTGTCTGAAGATCTTGTTCCTTATTTTGTTTTATTTATTTTTTTTTTTAAAATTCTCTTCTGTCGCCCTGCAAAAAGGATATGGAAGAACACCTTTCCATAAAGCCCGGCATGGTCTTTTGTTCTCTTTGTCCTGAAAACCAGTGTGAGTGGGTATTGTTGGTTATTATTAATTATTTTTTTTTCTCAACTACCCTCTACTTCTCAGAACGTTGCTATAATAGGCAAGTTGATGTCAATCATGCCTCCTTGTAGATTAAAAATACTTCTTTCACAACCTACATACATGTATGTATGTTTCGTCGACAACTGAACTGTAATTAGCATGCTGATGGTATTACCATTGAGATAACCCACATAAGGCATTGTTGATTCTAGGTTTATTCCAAATCCTCTGCCATTTGTTTCATTCTTTTATTCTTTCATTCTTTCTCCCCCCTTTTTTATTCCTCCTTTGGCGTCTTTGTCTCAAATCCGTTATATTCAAAGGTGGTAAAACCTGGGAGAACCTCCCAGGGATGGTGCTTAGCTCCTTAGACTTTGGTACTATGGATATCGTTAGCGGAAGCACAGACCGAGGTGGGCAGTACTTACATGTACATGCAGTGGTCAGAACGTGACAAAAGTACACGGACCCAAGCAGTTATTCCTCAATTGGCTCGGGGAAGCAGGGATCGAGCCTCCCGCCAGTCGGTCCTAGCAGCAAGTCGCCGCAAAGGGCAGGCGGCCCTGCCAGTCAGCAGCAGTGCTTTTGATTAGTTGGAAGCGCTAACCCTCAGGGAGGTTTAGCTGCTCCGTATCCGAGCGGGCGAACCACTTCGGTTGCCCCGTTGGACCGGAAGTCCTACCGTACTATGTAAAAGTAAAGTATCTCTTTGTATGTATTGGGGGGGTGGGAAGAGAGCTTCGGTATGGCCATTGTTATCTAGGTTTCGTTTGGATATTTTATTTCTTGATACTCCCGTGATGCCTGGATGACTGCTGACTTGATTTCCACTTTCATGATTTGTTGGCAGGATATGGTTGGAAGGTTAAGAAGAAAGATTCAGGAGAGTGTAGTCTGCGAGAGGAGAAAAATTGCAAAAAGACCAGCGAAATGAGAGGAGAGCCAAGTCCTTGGAACCAATTGTTACGGCGTATAACATACTTAGACACATGCATACTCGATTATTATTATTATTATTATTATTCTCACTTCCTCGACATCGTTGTTCTGTTCTGACACTCGACGGTTTTTATCCTATTATTTTCTGTGCAATTTTCATATTATTAATTTTTCTCTCTCTCTTAATCACGGCTAACTTTAGTTAACTATGTATGTACGTACGGTCACTGACCGAACTACTTACTACTAACATACACTACATCATCGTCCCCCATTATCATTATAATTATTACCAATTCCCACTTCCCCAAGCCTTGACTCCGTTGGACCACCTTTTTTCGATCTTGTTATTGCGGCTGCTTTGACCACCCGTCAACCAACTACGACTTTCTACTGCTTTCGCACTTACGCCTCTCCTATCTACCTCTTTTTTTTTTTTCGCTTTTTTCTTTTTTCCTTATTCTATTTCTGTAACTACATAAGACTTTCTTATTTCTTCACCTCCAGTACTCTTTCCGGTCCCTATCTGCTGTCCTTCTCCACACTTTCATCGTTTCAGCTCGTCCTCGACTTCCCGACATCTGCTGAGATAGTTAATTCTCACCTCGATACGGCGCAAGATTATGAGTGACAGTGTTTTCTGAAGATCTGCTCACAATGGATGGCTCCATGCCTCCGTCATCCGCTATTTCTCCCATTTCTCCCTCGCCATCCACTTCCTCATCCATCTTTCGCCCCCGCAGATCCGACGACTGGCACGAGTACCGTCCGATCATCGAACAACTCTATCGTGACAATCAATTAAAACTCAGAGATGTTAAGAGAATCATGGAGCGTGATTATAAGTTTCATGCATCGTACTGACCTCCCATTTCCTTTTCTCTCTCACCCTGTTCCCCCTATCCCCCTCCCATTAGTGCTAGTCCCCTCCTACCTCTATTGTCATTTTTGAATCCTGGATTTACTCTATGTATACCCCCCAAGGACTTTTGGAACCTGTGGATGTATTTGGAAAATTGATACACAGTGTTCCTGTTTGCCGTTGTTGCTCCCGTCAATTCGATTTTCTTTTCTTTTTCTAAAGCTCCTGTTTGTCTTGCGCCTTGTTTTCTTGTTTTCTTTTTCTTCGACAGCCGAATCGGAACAATTTAAAAACACCCCTAACGCATAAGCTTCGCAGAGAAAAACAATACAAAGACCGGCTGGCAGCCTGGCATGTTCGGAAGAATATAAAAGCCAAAGAAGTTCATGTGATGATCCGAAAACAACAAAAACGAGCTGCCCGCGGAAAGCAAACTGGCTTTCGAGTCGCCGGTCAAGAAGTGGATTCGAAACGTATCGCTCGTTTCGTCCGTAGATACGGTACTCACTGGGATAACAAAGGTCGCGCCGAGTCTCAGTCCCAATCTCCACCTCAACTTCAACCTCAGTCTCAACCCGAAACCCAACCGCAGACCCATCGGTCAAGCCCAGAGCCTGGTAGGTTGCTTCTATGTGATCAGATATTTGTTGTATCAGCTGTTTATACAAAACCAGATACTCCATCTGATATGAGTTGCTATACTCCCGAGCCCGATGCTAGAGATAGAAGCTCGACTTTGTCTCCCCGGCCAGAGACGATGTCACCTCGCAGTGAGATGACCCCATCCTCTTCGGTAGCCTGTACAACTCACGGAAGCTTCACCGAGCACTATGAGTTTTGGCTTGAAAAAACACAGAAGAAAAAAACTTTGGTTAATCAAAACGCAGGTCACGACAAGCTCAAGATAGAACAGACTCCTGCTTCAGAGATTGATGATAGCCAATCTTTGCCGACGACAACTTATAGCCCCAACTTACCAAACGACACACCCAAAACCACGGATGATGTGTCGTGGAAGGATCTTGATTCCTTTCAGAATCGTCTTCTCGCTCTTCACGATACTCTTGAGGCCTCAATGGCCGGATTTATATACCCTAATGAAGATGAAAACCGCACACCCCTTTTATGAGCGGCACGGATTATCTAGAGACGAAGAGTGAGGATCTGCCGAGCCTCTGGGTTCATTCTTAGATGTTGTCAACTCGACTCCCCTGATTCCCCCCACCTTTATTATTCCCCGCAGCCACTTCATCGTTAAGCACTGAACGGTCTTGACTCTGTAACACTTCATCGCCCCAATCCCTTCTAAGCGTTTGAGCCCGTTTTTCTTTTCTTTAATTTTCTTTTTTTCCCTTTTCTTTCCTTTGCTGTTCGGACTTTAACTATATAGAGCATCTATGGCTTGATTTAACCGGGAAACGTCTGATGTAGGTTATGGTATTCCCATGAATGAAAAGAAATCAAGGTGTACGGGATTCCATGGCGAGAAAAATTGCGGTTCTGTGATGATGTACCTGCCATGCCTGTCCAAATGTCCTTTTTACTACCATCCCTACGCAGTATCGTTAAGTACCTTTCACAGCATATCGTTAAGGATCATTAAGTTACTGCAGCTAACCTACCACGGTCTCGGAAGGACGTCAAATTAGCCTACAACATAAGTGGAATTCTGCTGCGGCGAACCTCCATTGCAAGGACGATTTCGGCTTACGATACATTAATCGATCAAGTATCTCTCACCGTGACCCTCTCGTGCTGTGCATTGCAGCAGAAACACACCATAACCCTTTCTGTTATTCTCCACAACCCTGTCACTTTGGATTTACTCCGTACAACAGCGGCCCGGACCGTGCCGCCCTTAGCAGCTCCACGACATCACACCCATCCGGCATACAAAGGAGAACTTACACACGAAACAAAAAGTCGCTAACTTCGAGAGAGACTAACTAATTGGCTTCACAATGTACAAAGGCTCATGCGAGGCTTTCAGAAGGCAACCACTCCTAGTGTTACCATATTGCGCAACCCCCATGGGTGGAATCCAAGTTTGAGGCTATCAAGTATACTCCGAGATAACGACAGACACCGCATAGGATGCACAGTCTACGCTAGATGAAGCACAAGAGAGCGAGCGACACTTCCTACCCTGCCAGGTACGCGTGGTTTCCTGCAGGACTAGCCGTCAGTCGACCCCTCATCCAGAGATGTCAATGAGATCAAATGAAGTAGGAGGAATCAAACGAAAAACACTCAGCGGATACCACGCCAGCGTCAACCCCAGTGGAGAAGAGCCACGTCGGACAGAGGACCAGGCAAGCATCAGCGCCTCCCTGGTCCGCTCAGGCCTCTCAACACGGGCAGGAAATTGAAATGAAAAATTTGTTGGACCCTAAATTCTTTGAATTTTGTCGTCAATCATTTTGAATAACATCTGGCATGACTATAATACTACTGCGTAACAAGGCTACACTTACGACTTGATTGCCAGTTAACACAAACATTTGCCCCAATGACAGATGCTAAGAGGAACTGACTAATAGCACCAGCCAGCAGACCAGGCCGGAAATAATATCCGCATCTGAATCAAATAAACAGCCATCCAGTTACACCGAGACAACAAGGAATGGGGCCGGATCCCACTTCCTTCCCCGATTGGACTACTGGCACTCGGCTTCCCTGTCTCGAGCATAGTCCGCCACAGTTCGTTCAGCTGTAGATCAAAGCGCCAGAGCCGGTGGTTTCAGGTCCCAACGTCACTTCTGACTGGATTGTCGATCTTTATATAAATTAACCCCCGGAATCCCCCGTACTTTGTTACTGGTACCTTCGGCCCCCAGGAAAATAGCAAACATACCTAATATCAGAAGAGAATCCTTACAACCCCACGCGTAACGAACACCCCTCCAATTTCCCAATTTTTTTCAAGATCCCAGATCATAAAGATAAATTCCCAACAAACCAGTAAAAGAAAAAAGACATGAAAAAAAAAAAAAAAGCGCTCCCCCCAATCCTGACGCTAGATATCGGGCATCAAAACCCACCACCAGAAAATGCAAACTTCAGAGACTAACTAGCATGATGTAATCCAATCACCACAAATCCCGTTTCCGGAGTGATCGTCCGGAAAGAGCGATCCTAAGGTCACAAGGGTAAATAAATACCCAGATTCCTAGTCGTTTCCATGCATATCATACAATACTATCCGTATCAGTACTTTTGACCGCGTTCTAAAAGGGGAAATATGAGCAGCTTCCGCCTACTAGTAATAAACTCACTGCCACTGCCACTGCCACTGCCACTTAACTTTATATCTCCATCTTTCACACATGGTAGCTCTGTCATTCGCCTTACTTTTGCCACCGAGTTCTTATCAATTGCATCAGTGGCATTTCTGTCCTGAGGAGGAGGGGGGTGGAGTATGTGTGAAGTTCCCCGTAGCCGTTGACGTAGTGCTAGACTGCTAGTATACTGTGTACACAATACTTGATCTATATGCGCTATTATTTTTTTCCTTCTCTATGATATGCAGATACTGTACCGTACCTATCTAGGAGAATTAGAGTTAATTAATATATAAGGTAAATTTGAACCCTTATATAAAGTAAATCTTCTTGCCGAACAACAAAAGTATGTACGTACATACCTCATCAGTTCATCCCATACAGCGATCAACATGAGTCCTCCCTGAAGAATATCTTAAATCGACACATATATTTAACTATAGCACTATCACCGGCCAAGCTAATTAGCAGTAGAATTATTTTACGATTAAAATTACACACATACGTACATACGTTGCGTACCTCCCCACAACCCCCAAATACAACCGGTAAGCTAATGAATATCTTTTGGCCGCCACTGATCTTATCTAATTGAGGCAAATGGAGTCTGAACAGAGGATATCGATATTCAAATATCGCTTGGGTAAATGGTGTAGTTACACTGCAGGGTAGTGGACGGGTTGTTTTGCCGGATGGAGAATAGAGTTGGGTGATGGATGAACGGTGGTTCTTTTACGCTTTGATCTTTAGTTTCTACGGGCTAAAATCGATAAGGAACTTGAGTCGTGGAGATTTCCGGTATTGGTTAGTCTAGAGGATCATGAGTCGGTTTTACTTTGGAATTTTTTTGTTTCGTTGTTTCATTGTTGGTTTACATAGGCATTGTCCTGTACTTACTTCGTGTGAAGATGTGTGTGGCTTTGATCAACCGGTAAAATCTTGTCCATGATAACAAGAAGGAAAAAATTGGTAATCTGTACACGGTATAAAATGATAAATAATATAAATAGTCATCTGGCCGCTGAAACCGTGGAACGTGAGAATAAACGCGAGAAAGAAAAAGAGAAACATGAAACATGCAAACGAATCCGTATACCTCTAAGCACCCAAACGCTTGAATATCCAGTAGTGAAGTAGTCATGAGGTCCCGCCCATTAGTAGTAAGATCCATGTTGCAAGGGAGTCAACCCGACATGACCTCCTGCTCATGGACTAATGATAGAAGTAAAAAAAAAAAAAAAAAAAGAAAGACATGGCATATCAAGTCCGCTCAGGCATTACGAGTAGAAAGCACTTTTCTGAAAGTTTTCTGGGGAGATGTCACCCATCTTTCCTTTAAGTTCAGGCTTCTTTTCGTTTGCCGGGATTTCATCCGAGACGCGAGCTTGCATGCTGTTGGTACGACTGCTTGCTTCGCCGCCCGATGTGATCGCCTGTTGTTGTGGCTTCCGCTGGATAGTCTCTAAATATGGACCGGGAAGGTACCCGACACGGCCGTCCCGAGCACGGCATCGCCACCATTCCGATGCGTTGCCCGTGGGATCTGACTTGCTAAGAACAGCGACGATATCGCCCTTCTTCACGGCCAAGTCAATGCCGTTGGCCTCCTGAGTCTCAGGGGTGTAGTCGTACAGGACCCGACAGAAGTCGAGTTTCGAAGGATCCAGTGGTGCCTGTTGTACGGGTTCGCCGTTTGGCCCAACCATGAGCTTTTGGCGCTCCTCTTGGGAGCGGGCAAGTGATTTGATGAGTTTACTCATTAGGTAAGGAAGCCCGAATACAGCAACGAGGAACATAATGAATGGCTTCTTCGATGGCTTGGGGGGTGCGGGAGAGCCGTCCGGAAGGGTAGCCGGCGAACTCCGACCGTGTATAAATGCCGCAAAAGCGGCGGGAGTCAGAGAAGTGGCATCCGCCGGGGGAGGGCGGCCGGTAATCTTAGCAATCAACGTTTTAAACCACCGAATCATGGTGTAGATTCCGAGGGCCGAACCCAAGGTAGTACGCAGGTTACCGAGCTGCTCTGCGACAGACACCATTGCTAGAACGAGGCATTAGTAAATTGTAACTTTTCACCGCCGGTGAGACTAGACGACTTCAACATACCGAAGAATGAGCTATGAGTTGCCATATAGGTGCTCTCAAGCATCTGAGCGAATCCACCGAATGCGCCCACAATACTTTCAATCATCTGAAACGTGGCTTGTGTACTTTGACTGAAAGAATTGGTCAAGCTGTTGGGGTCGTTGGGATCACCAGGCATGCCGCCGTACATCCCACCCATCCCACCCATACCACCCATTCCACCGTACATGCCGCCATACCCTCCATACCCTCCGTACATTGACCCCATGGTGCCAAAGCGGGAATATGGCGAGGAGTATGAGCTGTAGCCACCGTACCCTCCATATGGGCTAGTTCCAAGCCGGGAGGCACCATATGGTGAATAGTTCGACGCGGTGCGATTCACAACAGTATTTAGCGAATTAGGACGAGAGGGAAGGTCGGGGGCGGTAGATGTCGTTGAGGCGGTTGTAGATGTGGTCGCGGCTGGTGCCGCGGCTGTGGCAGTCATCGCAGAAGAGGCGACTGAGCCGCCAGTAGGTGATGCTGACAGTGCGTTCCCTAGTGAAATATCGCGTGAGTAAGAGTCAAGGAGAGGATGATAAATCAACAAGTTGACAGTGACTTACCACCCGCTGCGGCACCTGCTCTCTCCCAAGGCTTAGGTGGCGAAACCGATGCCATATGTTTGTCGGAGGTAATCAATCAGCAGCCTGGCATCGAGATCGACCCAAGCAGAGATAGTAAGCAGGGCTCTCCGTGCTAATGGCGAGGTAGATAGTGGAAGCTTAGAGATGGGGAAGGAGAAGAGTAGAGGAGAGTCAAGGGTGGAGATGGAGACGATGGGGGTCTGAGAGCGGTGGAGGCGCAAAGGAGGAGAAATCGAAAAGTCCGGTGGTGCATGTGCCCGGAAATACCGAGGCTCTACCGGAAGGCTTGCCGACGGAAAACTCCGAGCGAAGTCCGGAGTGTGGTGATTCATATGATTACGTTGATACGAGGTTCTAGAAAATCGGTAAGAACATTAATATTCAAAAGAAATTCATTCATCCAAGCTTGGATTCTCGGTGAATAAAGCTTGAGCATCCAAAGCTGCTCACACACCCATATGATATACACCCTGAACTCCAAAGATGTGCATCCGCTGGTTGTTAAACAACGCCTAAGAAACGCCAATGAAGAGATCCTCTGTTATTGTACAGTCAAATGATTCACAAACAACCTGATCACCAAATGTATATGTTGTAAAACACCCCTGATCATAGCTCATCGCGGCTCTGCATCTCCGGCTCCATTGGCCGTTTGATCCTCCACGTCCGTGGTGGCACGGGAAGTCCCAGCCAATAACTCCACAGCCGGTTGAGCTCTAGAACAGTAATTTCAGATCTGTGTGAAAACGCTATTAGTACCCAGGCGTTACAATCCACGACAATAATTACTTACAGAGTCTTGGGAATATTGGCCCAGCTCCTTAAGACGTAGACGAATGTATTCCAAAAAACCTCAAACTCGGCACGGAGTTCGTCTAAGAAGCCATCATTCTCGCCTCGTGGCCCCCGCTCCCATGGTAGTTTTTCGGTGAGATACTGAAAATCGTCCTCGTCATTTTCATAGTAGAAAGTCGTACCACCATCCTTGATAAGACGTCTTGTTGTCTTGCCCTCGGGGTTCTTTACAGACGACACGTCGGCGGGAATTGTAAGAGTCTCTCCATCTTGCACATCCATAGCACGATGGAAACTCTTGATAGCCGCCACGCTGTGAGAGATGCGACCTAGAGTGTTGACCAAAGCCACAAGTTCTGTCCTGCGCAAAGGAGGATTCTCTCCATTCTTGGTCTCATCATACTCAAACAGGACCTTCAAGGCGGTGCCGTATCCGTTAACCTGCAGTTTCCCCCATAGTCGGCACTTATCGCATCCAACACAGTCCATCAAGCGGCTCACGTTTCTGAAACGGTTGCGGAAGTCTTCCTTCAGGCCGATGGCACTTGGATCCTGGAACATCAAGTTCTCATCGAAAATCTGTGGCCGGTTCGCGAGAGCCGAAGTCAAAAGGGAGACTTTCTCCTTGGTGTCTGCATCCTGGACGGGATCGCTGGTGCAATATGTGTAGCCCTCAAGGTGCTTCCGTAATTTCGCGACGGCGCGGGACACCAAGGCATAGTTGAAGTACAAGTTCGAGATGCGCTCCGGATGGTCATGCAATCTTTCCTTGAAGCATTGCAAGTTCGGGTTCCATTGGCCGGTGGACTGGTTGAAATAGTCCCAGCAAAGGTGGGTCGAAATAGATGCATGCATCCCGCTGATAACCCGGTGGAAGACCCGCTTCTCGAGGCACTCGTTGTCCAGCGGCAATCCCTCCGTGCGCTTCAGCTCTTTCTGGAGGACATTGCGCAAGTCATTGGCAGCCTGAAGTTCTCCAAATTGAGGATTCGGAGACAGTTCTAATTGTTCCGGCGTCGACTTCAAGAAGCAGTTCTCACGGTAAATTGCGTTCCACACCTGGTGGGCTCCCATTCCTGCATATCCCGTAAATCGCTCCGGGTTATCGAGCAAACTGACATAGTCGCCTTTGGCGCTCGCCCCTTCGTCCTCCGGAACGCAATAGTCTCGCTGATCGCACTCATCGTCGTACTCGACCACACAACTTTCTCCGACATCTTCTCCTAGCATACCCTGGAGTGGTCGATCCCCAGGCCGCTCCTTCCGGACCCCGGGCCCAGGATGATCAGCTTTCGGGCCCTCAAGCTTACTTAGCTCCTCTGCACGCCAGGGTAGCGGGATATCCTCTTCCGACTCGATGGTAGTAACGGAGCATGCAATGTTCCCACACATGCTATTCTCGTCTGACCAGAAGGGGCAGACTTTGTTGAAGAGATTGAGCCGATAATATGAGAAGAAGTCGGTATCTTGGGTTATGGATTGGAGGAGAGGGTAGACTTTGTCGTTCAACGAATCAATGCTGCTGTAGGAGACGCAAGCGTCGGAGACTGTGGCTTTAGGGTCGATCTAGAGACAGCATAGATTAGCAAATGGGGCTCAATAAGGCAAGACTAAATCTTATGTTTATATACGTGGAACTCACGGCGCATGTATTCTGGTCATGATGTTGATACTCGGCATTGGTGAGCCTCAAGAAGGCAAACACAGCCAAATAAAATATTTTAGCTGCAGAAGGCATTTTTTTTATCAGGAGAACAACGTGCGAAAATAACAATTTGTAATGGATGTATAGACGTATAGAAACTTAGTGTCTATCGGTTGTGTAAATCCGTTGACCCTTCACATGAAAACACAAACAGTGGGCCTAGAAATTGTCAATCAGATCAAGGATCTAAACATGATTTTCTGTCAACAATGATCCACTGCTGTATGTATGTATATCGGGGTTTAGAAAAACGAAAAATTTAAAAAAAGATGTAACAAAATTCAAACGCGACCGAAGAAATCATAAAAAGAGAATGAGCGGATTGGGCGAGTTATGAAGGAGTAGAGCGAGAGAAGTTGACAAGCTGTCCTTGGTGGCGGAGTTGCATGACAGTCATCGGATGATTATCAATAGTCGTCCTTCAATAACCTCCGCCAAGCCTTTTACGAAGCAGTTCCATTCGCTAGCGCCCCATCTATGTTTCCTATACGTAGTCCTCACCTTACTATTGAAACAAAGAAGGCTGTTTCAGGTTATATGAAATAATAACAACAAGGATGATCTTGTTATAATCAGGGTAATAACAAGACAGGCAAATGAAGGATATATGACATGACATCCTCTAAAAAACATATGACTCGGTGAATTCGCTAAATGGAAGACTTCCGCTATAAACAATGTTGAATGGATAGAGATATCATAATACAGTAGACGGACAGGGGATCCTAGCCCTGAACAAGATGATTTAGCAATGTAGACAGTAACCAGGTAACATGGTATTTAGACTACTAATTAGGTATACTCTGCAAGTGATACCACACTAAGAATACATTATATCACCCAACCAAATCACAGAAATTTGAAATCCTGGAGAATCCTCCTCTACTAGTCAGCAAATAGCGTGACACTTTTCCCCGGCGGTTATGAATGGAAACTTGGCTGATCCTACTGCCTTAGTGTCATTTTAAAGACCCTAGTTGCGCCAAGCATGCATCGTTCTCCCCAGATCCAGCAATCTTGGCATCTCTTTGAGACAATCCAGCCCTAAGAGCTACAGCTCAATCCTTTTTACATTGAAGTGATGGCATACACCTGGCTTATATATATGTATTCGTACGCGATCTTGCTTATAGATACTTAACTTATTTTTACTTCAGGGCGGGACCTAATTATCATGCCTGGACAGAACTGTAGGTGCCTGAATTAGGTATAAGTCTCTCTTCTTTTTCTCTTTTACCAAACTCCAAGGAGACCGAGCGTGACTGAAAAAAAGGAAAATAGGATTGACCCAAGGCTGTTGGATCCATTTTGGAGAGCGATAATTAAGGTTGGGAATGTCCATTCACTGCCCAAGCTGCTACGTAATATATTGGTGTATATGCAAGGGCGAACTGGAGCATAGAAACCCCTCAGAGTAGTATCTGCCATACGCATACATAGCATGCTGCATTCTCGCGCTTCTCGCTTAACGTCCTTCCCCTCCTCATTACATAGCTCAATTTGAAGCACCGGTTTGTCAATGTTACAGTAACTATGGCGAGAAGAGTTTGTAAGTAGATTTGGAATCAGGTTAACTAGTATTTTAATTTAATTTATTTTGTCTTCTTCGTAGTTAAGAAAATATATCGACTTCATTATAAACATAACAACGTACTTCACCAGCCTAGATCCTTGTCAATCAGTTGCATTATGGCCATCTCGGCGGGCCAGACTTGAACAAAACTCCTGGACTCGCCAGGACCAGTCTTCGTCCCACTGGAAACTAAGGGGGGTAAGATGCACAAAAGAATTCGCAAAAGTCAGGAATCCAACCGGAATTCTCCCAATCGACCAGGACGATGTCAAATGATCGCCCACCTTGATCGTTTGGGCGACTTGTATTTTCCGCGACTATAATGTTCTTCTGCTGAACGTCCCCATGCGTCAATGTGGGTCGGTGACCTTGAAGGACGCGTGCGAGGTAGTTTTCGTAAAAGCGAGCCTTGTAGTCTGGCAGATTATTGCGTTCAACCAAGGCTCTATAATTTCCGACAAGGCCCGCAATGAAGGCAGGTTCGCCAGAGAAAGGCCCCAGAAATTTCTCATCGCCATGTTGGCTATAGAATAGGTAGTGATGTACGCCGCCCCCGTCCAAGCCCCCGAAAAAGCCGGGCCATGGACACTCGGCCTTTCACATTTTGTCGAATATTAGTTGGAGTTCTGCGATAAAGTCATTCTTCTCAGAGGGCGCCAATGATGGCCAGATGGAATTCAGCTGCACTCCGGGAACACGTTGCATGATCAAGAAAAGTTGTTTAGAATTATAATACATCGCGTATAGTCGAGGGGCTGGAACTTCTGGGATGTGTTGTTCAAGATAAACCAAAGCTTGGCCTTTCCAGACGTTTATACAACCTCCATATTTTACAACAATATTGTCGTTCACCGCCACAATCTTGGAGGCCACGGTCTCCCACAGAACATTTGTGCAAGCGCGGATGTCATGTGTTGTGGGTAGAGTAGGCAGAGGGTGGGAGTTCTGAAAGGGGACAACTACTGGTTTCCACATCGTAGACAGAGTAGGAGTTGACGGAGGTAATACTAAAACATGAATAATTACCTGAATGGAAGGAAAATGAGCGGTGAGGTCGAGACATATGAACCATAATCCGAAACAGTTCTGCTGACCACACTAGTAGAGATCGCACATACTTATACGCTGTGACCTGTATTGATACAAGTTAATTCATGATCAGGATATGCTGGACGTACTACTAGTCAAAACTTGTACTATCGTGGAATACTTTGCAAGGTTATACGTGGCTTGTTCCTCCCATTTGATAAATAGATTACACCTTATATATGAGTTCCAATAATAAAATGTAAATTACTCTTTCCGGTTGTATACGCCTGCGTCAAAGGAACAAATGCATAGAAGTAAGATTTTTATGTTACTACGGAGTGGAAGTTGCTACTGGTAATTTAATGTTTGTAAAGTGTCCCTCTATCGGATTCATGGTCAGTTTCAAGAGGCCGAAGCAGGTTCATTCAATTGCACTCTATCGGAGCAGTGATGCTGCATCCGAGAGTTGGTTCTCTAATGGGCAGTGGATACATAAATAGTTTCAAACAGCATTAAATATGCCCAATCATGACCATGACCAAGCTCAACGGTGATAGGAGAAAGCACGTTGAAATCTTGGCGGACACTTAAAAGTACAGAAAACCGAACAACATGAAAGATAATCAATCCATAACTCCATGCCCAAGACTCCGAACAAATCCGTATATCCGTCCATTCCGTGGTCAGCATGATGCTGATCTACATGAAAACAATACAAAACATGAGGTATCACACAGTGTTGTCAAATCCCTGATATCCTAGCCCTTTCTATCAACCTCAACCTTTTATATATCCTTTAAATAACCATTTAGTAGTGGAGTGTCGATTTCGAGTTTACTGGGTACTCCTGCGGTTTCGGCGACGCAGGCTCAGTACCCTTCTGAGGGAGGCGAATGGCTTTGGAAGTGGCGTGTTGTAGAAAGGATCATTCTTGAAGTCCTCTTCGGTGAATTTCTGTCAAGGAGGTTAATGCTTTGTCGTGACAAGGACGACACAAGAGTGGCTACTTACCAAGCCGGGACAGCGCATAAAGTTGCCATAGTCGTTCATCATATTGGTACCCTCCTCGTAGTTGTAAGTTTGTCCTTCCCTATCCGTAGTACCAGGTGGATAGAAAGCCACCCCGTCGAGAGGACGATGGCTGTTAATGCTGTCTTTGATCTTATCCTTTGGGGTGGCCCTCAAAGCTTCCTCGTTCGTTCGTTTGACGGCTTCGATTGGGCTCAACTTGGTGTCGAAATTCCTTTCCGGGTATACTGCATCGTATGGTCCTTCATGGTGGTACTGATAAAAGCTAGCACTGTCCAGGCGGTCGATAACGTCGGGATTAACGAGTTGACTGTCGCGAGAGTACCTCATTGTGCGTCGTGGGCCGCGAGAATGGCGACGGGAGTGATCGTTGTAGTAACTGGTGCACTCGCGTTTCTTCTTTGGCTCGACAGGGAGGTGCTCGAGATATCCGTCAAAGTAGATAGAAGGGATAGACGAGGATCGCTGGCGTCGAAGTGATTGGCAGCTTGGTGAAGATGAGAGGAAACGGCAGCAGGAGCTGTTCATGTTCAGGTCCGAATCCTGCTGGTGAGAAGGGTAGGGCGAGTAGGGTGTCATATAGATGGCTTCTCCGGTGGAGGCCATGTTGTTGAATAGACGGTGAAGGTGCCGTAGTATAAATCTGAGACCTGTCTCCTGACAGCTCAGATGGCTGGATAGAGTTGAATAGATGTATGCAGGTAGGCGATAGCACACGGACGCTATTGTGATAGTGCGTTTAATGTCACGATCTGATGTGGGGCTCGTATTGAAAGTAGAAAGTTATAATTCAAAGGCGCTCAAAATTTTGATATCGTGGTATTCTGGTGTGAGATCTTTGGCAAAGATAAAAGTAGAGATAGATAATAAGAGGAAGAGGAAGAATACTTCTGCCAGACAGCAATAATATAAGGAAGAGTCATCACTGCCTACCGGTGGCCGAGGGTGACGTGACGACTTGCGTATGATGATCCCGCAGGGTCCGGGGGTAGGCTTATCGATAACAGTGGCACGTCAGCCTTGTATAGGCTTAGCGGCTTCGCCACATCGAGTTTAGCGTAAGGATCTGTCCGGAGAACTAGACCCTTTTGGTTACATTCAACTGGCCTCGATGATGAAAAGATGAGAGTCTAGATGGTTGATCTCAGAGATTTCGCAGATTTCTTACTGCCCAAAGTTGTCTTCCACGGATTCGTGAAATTTTCTGACTTCGTAAAAAAAGGCACTGAACCTTACGAGTAATCAGTACCAACCAACGGTTCTCTTGAACATCTGACTGGACTGTATGACTAAAGTGGACCGCAGATCGCTGCTGACCAATATTTAAAAGTCACGTCATAACTGATCTCACAGTTTCCACCCGATGAGGCGTATATTTTCCTCTTATCCGGACATTACCCGAAGTATTTATATCAAAGAGTTTCTAGTTCGTTGTCTTGACATTGGAAGAGTTGATTCTTATGTTAAGCTCATCATTGGTACGATCATAGCGTCCGTGCGGATGGCATTAGAAGGGCATAGCTTGGTTAGTACAGGTACTACTCTGTGATGTCGTACTAGCGAGAGGTCTAGAAGAACCGTGGAATTTGCTTCTATGACGTTTACTGAGTTAGTCACCTCGCACGAGCCACCGGTTCCTAATAAAATTCAAGGGACCAAACCAACCTTGCATTCTGGACTGTTCACTTCAGTTCCATTCTAACATCTAGACCAGTATGCGCGAAGTTCCAGAACGTAAATACTGCCGGAAGCCTGGGGCATTTGGTAGCTTAGTCATTTAAGAGGAGACCTGGCAAAAAAAGAGAATCGAGAAACTAAATACAGGCATAAATATCCGAGTCACGGGATCAGTTTTAACTTTTCGGGCTCAGTCCACGGTCATCATCACGAGTATTTAAGTTTTCTGGCCTACAAAATGTATAGAATTGGCCTGTAATACGAGTACACGACATGGGAAGATTCAGAAAGCTTCAGGGTCCGAATAGTATGTTTCTTTATGATTAACAACCCGAGATGCAAGGCGCTGCCCATGTAATAGTTGGCTAGTTCAAATTCTGATATCAATAGGTTGAACGGAGTGATAATCAACTAGTATTCCTGGTGTATTAAAGTTGTCAGGATGCATATACGAAATTATCTATTGCCAATGTCTCATTGGGGTAAAGAAAGCCGCAGGCTTGGCGCCCCAGAATACCGAAAGTTACCCACACTTTCTTGACTTGTGTGTTGAATAACAAAACATTTATTCCCAACGACACACCAATCACCCGATGGCGTTGGTTCAATATTCGGATTCAGAGTCCGAGGAAGATGCTTCACATAGTGAAATCCCCCCCAGGCCAGCCAAGAGACTGCGGCAAGAAAGCGCTGCCACACCGGTCTCATCTCTCCCTCCACTTCCGAACGCCTTTCATGATCTATATGCATCGAGCACTCGTATTAGTGTAAAAGATGATCCAAGCCTCCATGGGGGCCGTAAAAGGGCCATTCCGCACGTTGAAGGAAACTGGCCGACTCATATCTATCTAGAGTGTAGGGTTACAGTTTCCGCTGTTACTCCTGATTAGTGAGCTAACTTAAGCAGGGTATCCGTCGAAAGGAGAGCTGTCCACCTTAAGCAATGTTATTGCGCAGGTGGAGGGAAGCCTTAGAAAAAGTAAAGTGGAGCTCAATAGCTTGCTGCGTAGTGATCTTGGCGCACAACTCCCACTGCATATCAGCCTCTCAAGGCCGGTAGTTCTTCGGACTGAGCAGAGGCAATCATTTTTGGAAACTTTTAAATCCGCCATTCAAGATTCAAACATACAAGCGTAAGTTGCCTTTCTCCCTTGCAGGGCTATAAAAATTTGACATAGCACAAGGTTCAATACGACAACGGAAGGCTTACACTGTGTGTCCAATTATGAAAAGACACGATGGTTTTATGTTCTGCGAGTGAAAAAGCCAGAAAATGACGCCCTCAACTGCCTTCTGAAACTCTCAAATCGATCATTAGCTTTATTTAGCCAGCCACCGCTCTACGAGGCTTCACCGCATGCCTTGAAGGCAGATGCAAGTGCTAGCACCCCTATGCAATGGCAGCGAGGTGGTTTTGCAGACTATTCCCACTGCTTTCACATCTCTTTGGCTTGGAGCTTGACAGAACCTTCTCCCGATGAAAGGGACCAAATCGCGAATATAGAGCTTCGAGAACTTAGTGATTTAAGGGTCTACTTCGACCGCGTGAAGGCGAAGATTGGCAACAATATAACGAGCATGCCGCTTGCTAGTCTGCTGGGGTAATTAGTTAGGAAAGAACGGAGAATTTATTTCTCCCGTGATATGTGAACATCATTGATCGACGCCTTGCATTAACACTTACAGTGCAGCTCCTGGACGAACAACTGCAGGATCAGCTGACTAGTCACTAGTCACTGTCCCAGTGATCCAAGCGCAAATAATAATAAGGAGAAGATTGGAGGGTAGGGGAAAAAGGCTGCTTGGTTAAGTTCAGAAGTCCACGATCGGCCGACGAGAAAGATTCTATGGAAGGCATTATGTATCCATCATGTTAGTACTACTCTCAACCTGCGTGGCAGTCAAGGCATAAAAAAATAATAAGAAAAAAAGGTACCCCAGAAAAGCAAAGCAAAGAAAAACCCGCAGCTATACGTAGACCATATACAATGCATCTAAAAAGACTCGGTTCGTAGGTAAACGATAAGATCGCCTAACGAATATAGTGCCCAGCTCATGAAGGCTTTGACCACTGTGATTTGTGTTTATATGGTAAAGACGGGCTTCTACAATATCAACCCTTGTTTCGTCATGAACCGTGTACCAGACGCAAGAGCTCATAGTTACCATTAGACTCATGGGGTACGATTTAAAGATGCTCTCGTAAGATCCAAGTTCATGCGATAGGTAGGACTTGGAAATGCATTACTTTGCCCATCGCACCTCCAAAAATTTCATCATGAAGATAGTCACAAGAGTTACAAGCACTAATCGTCTTGGTTCACTTTTCTTTGGGGCTTTTTCTTGTGAGACGACGTTTCAATGGAATCTCTGTAGAGGGAAAATGTATGTGGTAATTTGGATGCCTCAGGATACGTCTAATACGGAGCAGTCGTAAGATTACAGACTCGGCTGTCGCGCCACAAGACGCGTCTTTTTAATTTCCTCCCGTCCTCAATTTGCTGCAGTAGACAACTTGCTGCCACGTCGATCAGTTAAACTGCATTCACGCATGATTTGGATCGTGTCAGTAGGTTTGTACTTCAGAATAGGATCAAAATGTCTACGCTGCAAATCCCACCTGTAACGATAGTGAGTTTTGTCGTATACTGTCCTTACCCCATATTTACTGACTCCGCCATAGGAAGACCTACAAGCATTTCAAGCTAAACACTTTCCCGGAAGTGCCCAGCCCCTTGTATCTGAGTATGCATACAATGAAAATGTAACGAACGAGCTCGCAGACGATGATGACGGCCTTGGATATTACCCCGATGGTGTGAAGCGCACCCTGACGGAGGAGCAGATCAAAATATTCAGACATAGTGAGATACACTCACTTTTACGCGAAAGACAACTTAGGGAAGAAGAGGAGGAGGAGACTCACAGAGCTTCTGAATTCAATGAATCTAAGGATGATCAAGCACATGATAAAGACACTGCTACGACACGATCTAGTGTCGTTGTCGGTGGAACTGATCAATCAACAGGCGGCGATCAACAAGCGAGAACTCTGCAGTCTGATACCAGGCAGTCCGTGTCCAGAAGTCAGACCGTAGATAACGGTTCGGACCCTACGCTGGATTATGATGAAGACGCTTCTGGATATACCCGCAGGCCTGCTCCATCAAATTATTGTTCTCACTTGGCTGGTCGCAGGATCGTTTCGTATGAAGATTAGCTGCTGGATTCTTCGATGGGAATCACAGAATGGAGAATTAGTGGCCATAATGAACCTTCAGCATTATCTAACCCCGCCATTGCTCAACTACGGTAGGAGGCTCTGAAACCCTATCTAGTGTTCCGTGAGTTTCCTCCCCCTGACCCTGGTTCTTCAGCTAGTATGATGAAACTCTTCGTATCAGTCATCCTTAGTCGGATTGCCATACCATCTGCGGATGTGTGAGGCTATGACGACTTAATCTTCTCTCTGAGCTATCTTTCACTAAGTTATAAAATTTCATCAATGCGAGGGCCGTAATGCTAATCTTTCATGTGAGGCAGGGCTTGATTGCCGGCGGTTCGAGAAATCGCGCGGCTAGTGTACTAGTTTATACGTAACTCCAAGTTGTATCAATGCCCGAGCGACGTGGGACCATCGCCTAGATTTCTATCGTGTGTCTCGGCATAGCGAGCCATCGAGGTTGAGTATATCTGGCCACGACCCCCAAACAGTTCAAAAGCTTCGCTACGCAGGCTATTGACATGGGATATAAACCTTATTGCGAATTGCCCAGCGGTCAGAGGTAAATCCGCTCCTTGAGGAATCAACTACCACTGCGGTGACATGTCCCGTTACTTCAGTAGCCCCGGTCTTCATGAACTTCCATCTCGTACGAGGCATAGAGTAATTCTGAACAGTCTAGTCATAACAAAACATTCTATCAATGCAGGAATTTTTTCAAAGGGGCAAAATCCAGAACCGAATTTGTATCAGCCATATCAAGGAGAAAGTCGCCTGACTATCTTAGTTTATAAGCCGACCGTTATCATCGTCGTCATGCTCGAGTCTTATGGTTCCCTGTTTCGGAATAAAGGCCCAGAATATGCCGATACCGATAAGCAAGCCGACCATGATCGGTTGCAAGACTTGAACACCTGCTTTCGAGGCTATTGCGCCCGTCATAAAGGGAAAAGCGGCCGAACCAGCTTGCCCTAGACTCGCAGTGAAGCCTGTTCCAGAGAGTTAGCAAAGCGGAACTGAGCCTGTAAGATGTGCAAGAAAGACGATGTTCGGTCAACATACCTATGGCCCCGACATGAAGCTCTTGGGGCACGATTTCAGTAAGAACATACAGTCCAACAGGGTAGAACGGTCCTATGAAGAAGCCTATTTGGATTGTCAGCATTCTATCAATTTCTGCTGCGGGTGTCCATGTTACTTACCCAAAAGGAAAACGGCGACAGCGTTTACGGGGATACTCGGGACGATCCAGAACATAAGCTGCATCGCCAGCGCCAACACGAGATAGACAAAGACCATTCGGCGCTCACCAAATTTGTGTGTGATGTCCGCGAGAAGAACCCGGCCTACGGTAAAGCCAGTCCAAAACCCGGAGGCGATATAACCTACTTTCTTCGGGTCACCATGTCTTACTGAGATGATGAATTGAACAATCCATCCTGGCCAGATTAGCTGAAACTAAAAGACATATATCGGTTTGTGTTTTGGGATCTTACCTCCAGAAGCCACCTCCGCACCGGCATAGAGGAAGAAGAATCCATTCAGGATCCACACCGACCGATTAGCCAGCGTAGCTTTCAATTCACTGCCAGCGGTATCCTTAGCATCTTGCACATTCGGTCGGAAAAGACCTCGCCTGAAGGTCCAAGCGAGGAGCAAGATATTCACAATGCCCACACAGAACACGATCAAGTAGTAATGGTGCCATTCTGGCGTCCGCGAGGCGATTGTGTTAGCAATCAGTGGAGCAATGATAGTTCCCAATCCATAAACAGCATGAAGTATGCCCAGCCATCTATGAGCGTTTTTCACAGTGATAGTGAACGCGTTTGCCTGCGCATCCTGGAAAGCGACACCCATACCCGTGAAAAAGAAGGCGGCCATGAAAAGAGGATAGGGCGGATGCCAGAACATGAGTGCATACCCGAGGCATTGTACCGTTGCGCCCAGGAGTAGCGTGCCTCCCGTTCCTAGCCTGGAGCAGACATGAATATTGGCAAAGCAGGCGCAGAGCCAGCCAGTAAAATTAACGAGATATATGAATGAGACTTGCAGCAAACCTATCTCGTAAGTTGGCTGGATGTAGGGTATCAGGACACCCGTGGCAGCGTCTATACTCGGTCAGTTCGGGTTTCCCCAATAGTCTGCATAATCAGAAATACAGACCATTCAGTCCAGCTACCATGACCGCAAAGTTTGTACTAATTATTCTGCCCAGAACCTGGCGAGCATCCTTCTGATCGTAGAAGGATGGCTCGGGTGTCGGGCTTTCGTCATCCCGTGCGATATGGTTATTTTCCGTCTCGGTAGCCATGGCTGCAAATTCTCACTACTAAGGTCGCAGAGGGAGGAAAGGCGAGGAGCAGATGATGCTTCAATATCTTTTCATGTCAGGCTCCCGAGCCACGATGGGTCTATGCCAGGCTACGACGACTCGGTCGCACGAATGACATGGTGGAGGGGTAAATTTACTACGAAGGTCCAAGCGAGCTGACTCAAGCCTTGGCGATGTGAGGGGCGACCTTGATTCAGAAGGCTTATGCTTGCCTCAATTTGTATTGCCCGGCGAAATCTCATGGTCTCATCCAGTTTGGCTGAAGATATTGGCATCTCAGTCAAAAACATCCCCGTTTAATAGTTGAAATGTTGGACGGTCCAATCGTTGTCTGAGTTTCCAATCGCTGATCTAGGGCTGGCCAATCGGTGCCCTGTACGTATTCGGCCAAGTACTTACTGTCCGACCTTTGCTTTGCTCGCTCCTCCCGTTCATTTCATAGGAGATCCCGTACGCCCGGCAGGATTTCGATCTCGCCTGAGGCGGAAAAGTTAAATCTGAGGCCGAAAGGCTGAGCCTCTGAGGCACTTCAACTCAAATTGAGCACCAGCTTTTTCAAGCTCACAGGCAAGTGCCTTAAATAAGCTTATTCTTGGTCCGTCACGGACAAGAATGACTCAATTGAACTCATACCAGTTCGCTCAAATCCCATAGACATTGACACGTGGAAAAACCGGAACCGAAAATAGGATAGGTCCTTGGATGAGTCTTTGAGTCCTTGAACCGTGTCGCGGATTGTATCTGTGACACCACGGTCAATTGCCACTGTCAGACACAATCTTTCAATCTACAGTTTCATTCCCCAATTGCCTCAGAGAACGTATCCTCTGGATTTATGGCAATGCGAGATACCATCTTGATTTTATCTACTAGTAGTTCCCCGGAATGAGGGCGGAACCACCTGTGGACCGAACCAGGACACATTAACCGGAACAATGACTAACAGAAACTTCCCCAGAAAAAGATAACCATTGGATTGAGATAGGAATCACGAATTCCCCATTCGCCCGGGATAGTGATAAATCGCGCATCAGTCACTGGGCGGCTACCCCGGACCCCAGAACGTGAACAAGGAGCCGGATGTTTTCCTGGTGGAAATACCCGCAATTTAATTTATGAAAGCTGTGTCGGTTGAGGCGGTACTCACCGCAACCGATCCACAATCGGGCACCGCGGGAGAGCTTGTTCGAGATACCTCGGAATAACTATTTGGTAATGATTATTGCTTCGTCCATTCACGGGGGATTCTGTTAACTAATTACCGGGGAAAAGACCCCATTGAGTAGTATCCAGTGCATTTTAGGCTGTCTTGGAGACGCAGCGGGGGGTTGGTATCTGGGGTTGAGCCGATCTGGGGTACGCGTTCCATGGGGAGATTGAGCACGTTCGGAATATCAATGGTTACGGTGAAGCCCAAATTTCGCTGATCAGGGTACTATACATATGTACGTACATACTTTTGACGGAACCTCAGGAACTTTCGTTCGGAATCGGGATTAATGTTTTCGTGTTCCTTGTAGGACATCTCCCGAGGCCGAGGGTAGCCGAGCAGTATATACGAGTACTTCACTTGGCTTAAACCTTCAACATCATTGCAGGAAATTATCCGCTGACGCGAAAAGTTTTCCTTTTCTTTCTTTTTAGGTTTATCCTTCTAGAAGAAGGTTGAGCATTTGAACTCAAGACGAACCTAGAGGCAAGTTTGCTCGAGACGAAACCAATTAGTTCCTAACAATAGATACTCTCTTTAGACCCTTAACCTAAAGCAAGGCTGTACACTCAGTGGGCACCTAGGAGGGTTGCACCTAGAGCAGCGCAGGGTTGGCTGCGTCTCCATAGATAAACAATGTCGCATAGAAAGCTGATAATGTTTGCTTAGTTTACATTTTCATTTGTAGAGAAGTTTAGAACAGTCACATAGCTGTACCCTTATCAAAGAGGTTATCCTAACTCTCTCTGTACATTTACACAACGAAGCAATTATGTCACGGTGCTCATGCAATGACGGCAGATCTGCATATATACTACTTGAGTCTGAATGATTCGATACAATGCGGACATTAAGGGTCCGTCCGCATTCGTCCACGACGCCATGCCGAAGCTTATACCGCTCCTGGGCGGAATTAACCCGTCTATCGAGAGTATGGAGGACAAGTAGACATCCAAAGAACGTCAGTTACGCTCTCTACATGTAGTATCTGCCTTGACATACTTGGATCGATTTCTCAGTCCCCCTTGCATCAAACAGCTGACAACGTGTTCAACATGCATCAATGGTCATCAGCCTCTACCTCGCTCCATCTTTCCCCAGATCCACAGCAGAATGTGACTGCGGGCCTCCAACAGCCCAGACTTGGTACTGGCAATTTCTATTACATCGCATATTCATGATTCGTTCTGGCCAGGCAGAGACCCACTGAAACCAAGCGATCTTTGCCACCGATGACAGGTGAACTGAGACGGGCTACTACCCTGGTGGAGACTGGGGTTAGTGCCAGTATACGGGGTTGGTATGGCTCGTTCTTGATTCGAAACAGATAAGCTTGGAAGCCAAAGATAGGTTGAGCTGCGAGATTTACAGCCTCTTAGTGTTCCCCTTTCTCCCGATCCCCCCTCCCTCTGCCAATTTCCTCATCAGGCAGCTTTTCTGCTCGCCCTCACCTTCTAAGCTCCTTCATATATCTGAGCGGGAATCCCTTCTCTCTCTCTTTCTTTTCTTGCTCTCACGCAAGCTCCACTTGCTATAACTTTTCTTTAGTAAAATTATTCATTCCTTACATAGCAAAAAGGTGGTCATTATGAGTCCTCCTCAGATTGTCTCTCTATCCCCTGCTGCGAACCATGTGGAGCAGGTTGAGCAGCAGGAGAAGCGTATGCCCACCGACCAGGAATCATTCAACATAGATGAGAAGAAACAAGACATACCCCCATATATGCAAGATGCCTTCGGTGACGAGGAGTTTGCCGAAGTCAAGTACAAGGTTCTGAAGTGGTGGTGTGTACTGGGGAATCTCAACGGCTACTGAGCAACATCTCTGACAATTCCTTCTTCCCATAGGCAATGCGGTTTGCTCATGGTCGCCGAGACAGTCTCTTTGGGTGTCCTTTCCTTACCAGCGGCCGTCGCCGGCTTAGGCTTAGTCCCGTACGCACACTCATGGAGACGATGTTACATTGACTGACATTATATCGACAGCGCTCTCATTATCCTGGTTTTCTTTGGAGCCTTGGCTACATATACTGGTTACGTGATTGGACAGTTTAAATGGAAATACCCTCACATCTCGAACATGGCTGATGCGGGTGAGGTGCTTGCGGGCAAGTTTGGGCGTGAACTACTAGGGATTACCCAGACATTGTTCCTAGTGTTCATCATGGCCAGCCATATACTCACGTTCGTTATTGCTATGAACACCCTCACTGAGCATGGTACCTGCTCCATTGTCTTTGGTGTGGTAGGCGCGGTGGTATCCTTTGTGTTGTCCTTGCCTCGGACGCTGGCCAAGATGTCCTGGCTATCGCTTGTTTGTAAGGGACCCCCGATCGTACATTCTAGAGAGACTACTAACAAGCAGCAGCATTCATCAGTATTCTGTCTGCTGTTATCATCACCATGATCGGTGTCGGCATCTTAGCTCCCGGCGGCGGGAGCATGCAGGTTACGGTTAAAACTGACCTGGTCCATGGGTTTACGTCTGTTACGAACATTGTTTTTGCTTTCGGTGCGTTATAATTCACTTCAGCTAGATCAGTAATCTCTTCTAACGAAATCAGCTGGACATGCCGCCTTCTTCGGTTTTGCCGCCGAGTTGAAGGATCCCCGGGACTTCCCCAAGGCTCTGTGTTTACTACAGAGCATCGACATCTCCCTATACATCATTGCAGCCGTGGTCATCTACCGCTACGGTGGTGTTGACGTCGCCTCCCCTGCCCTGGGATCAGCAAGCCCTGTCGTCTCGAAAGTTGCCTACGGCATTGCCTTGCCAACTGTAAGTCGCAGCTCTACCAAGCCAATCACAATGACTAATAAAACTAGATCATCATCGCCGGTGTCATCAACGGCCACATCGCCTTCAAATACATCTATATCCGTATATTCCGTGGCACTGACCGCATGCACAAGCGCGACTGGGTCGCCGTCAGCTCCTGGGTCGGTATTGCTGCGAGTTTGTGGATCCTCGCCTGGATCATCGCCGAAGCTATTCCTGTCTTCAGTAACCTTCTCAGCTTGATCGTATGTGGACTGCATATTCAACTTTAGTGACGATCGTCCGTACACTAACAGCAATTACAGACTTCCCTTTTTGCGAGCTGGTTCACCTTCGGCCTAAGCGGAATGTTCTGGCTGTATATGAACAAGGGTCTCTGGTTCTCCTCTCCTAAGAAAATCCTTCTTACCTTCGTGAACCTGATGGCTATTGCTGTCGCTGCCATACTTGTGAGTTAGCTAATTATCCTATGCCCCAACCCCCGTACCCATTTTCGACAGGTCAGTAGCTCATGAATATACAGTGTGGCCTCGGTCTTTATGTCTCTGGTAAAGCCATCCATGATGACCCGAGTAGTGCAAGTTTCTCTTGTGCGAGTAATGCGTAAAGGTTCGGGATTTGGGTCTTGACTTGTTTTTATGCGATACAGCGTGCGTATATATATACGGTGGATATGGGAATGGGTTCAGTGGCGTTTGTAACTATGTGATGGTATGACTATTGTATATATGTACCTATCTATACCAGATTTTCTAGAACGACTGTGGTTTTCCTCTCTTGGACACTGCCGCTTTAGTAAGGGTACTCAGGGATTTGCTCAGTGAGTCTTCCACACATCACAGATCACCGCTTCCTGAGCCACTGACGCGCCCTTTATTCGCTGTGTGCATATTCGATCTACATGCCTGATAAACAACCCACCTAAACATCTCTCAAAGCTTCGCGCACAAACCCACTTCAATATAATCACACAAGTACCGACTTGTTCCA